CTCCTGTAGAATTTGCATCAGTTGATGATATTTTTTTCTTATGTCGAATTTCTATTACGGTCACAATATTCAATTTAAACACGTATACATCGAAGCAGTATGGGCCTTAGTCGAGTCTGTACGACCCCCCCACCCCTCCGGTCCTCTGTTCCTATTCATCGAATCGAGCCGTCGACGTCGAGCGAGGTTAAATAGCACATGTGAAACAGGAAAAGTCGCGAGACAATACGACCCTCCCCCCCCCCCACTTACCACAGAATTAAGCACGCAGGAGAGAGAGAAGGGGGAGGGGGCATATAGTACGCATGAAACAGGAAAATCACCAAAAGTCAACCACCACTCCTACAACGCAAAACGTAAATACGACCCCCCCCCTCCCAACAATGACCAAGTACGACCCCCCCCTTTACAACGTCCGTGAAGCGAGAAAAATCAACTATCAAAATAAATTTTCTCAGCCCAAATACGACCCCCCTCTCCTGGCGACCAAATACGACCCCCCTATTGGGGATTCCCCAACAATGATGGCCCTGGTATGGGCGGATTCCTATTGGTCAGGTATCTCTTACTCTCATGTATCCACTATTACTTTACATAATAGGTAAACAAGGAAAAACCACCGGTGCACTCTTTGCTTTGAATGCACCGAACAAGTTCTTGCAGCAGTCACAGATTACCGATGGAGCGAACCCGGCGTTGCGTCTCAATACGACACGTAATTGCTCGAGTCGAGAAGTGTGGACGCATTCTCAGCTTGTGAAGAATGATAGCAGATAAGCATTTCTCAATACGACACGTAATTGCTCGAGTCGAGAAGTGTGGACGCATTCTCAGCTTGTGAAGAATGATAGCAGGTAAGCATTTCCAGCCGAGAAAGTATAGCCTTGAGGGTTCTTGACAGCTTCTTCCACTTCCTTTTTAATTTCCTTTTCACGATGAATCCGATCTCAGCGGACTAACCGCCGCAAAAAAAAAAAACAAGAAGGCAAAAAACTTCGTTTCTCTATATTCCGTATTCCCTCAAAGGTCCAATATCCAATCCTCCAATCCAGCCCTCTCAAATATTACTAGAATGTGTACCTGTTAAGGGCCTTGCAACGGTGACTGTCACGACGCGAATGACAGACTCGCGAATAGCGCCACGCAAGTGACGTTTGAATGACTGGTGGTCTGTCAAATCCTGAAAGGGTATTCCTTTACGTTGAATTCTCACGAATTCCGTACTTCTGAAAAGAAGTTACCTTCTCGTCAAGATGTTCGTTTTCTGGCTTGCCTCCAATCTCAGGATAGTAAGTGTCGATGTACTGAGAAACGATTCATGAAGCATAGGTATGTTCCAAACGTAAGGAAAATTGGAAACTAACAGTGACCAACCTTTTTCGTTTTGTAAGAGGTGATTCCTTGAACGATAAGTGAACATACGGCTGAGTCGATACCAGTGAACAGTATACCCAGTCCGCGAGCGTGAGCTAACTGGTTAGCTACAAGTATTGAGTTGTGATCTCAGCGGAAGCTCAACAGCTAGAATTCGGTCAGAATGTATATTTAAATATGCAAAATGTCGGACGGGATCCGGCGCCCTTGAGTAGGCATTGTGTGGCGCCTTTTCCAAGGAGGGCACCCCTGTAGCACCATATCAAGCGCAACATACTGACCAGGACGCCCACTGCGCCCGCTCGTTTACAAGTGTTCGACTGAAGCCGGTGTGGTATCGTTACATTTGGGAATTACAATATGAAGCGAACGGATATGGAGCGGTGCGGTACTGCATCAATACATGAGTACACACATGCACCCGTCTCTAGCAGTTATTGACACGATGTCAACGGGGAACTCGTCCGGAACTGCATTTTAAGTCGTGGAGAAATAAAGGCTTCTTTTGGAGATTTCACTTCGATTTTTCGCCATTCTCCCGCTACAGCACACCTGCTAAAATTTCACACCGAATGCAAATACCGTGCCTTATGCCTTTAGCAAAGATCTTCAGTTCACTGACCGCATAATATTGTAGGTGATATGTGGTTATACTAAGCGGAGGAGAGATAAAGTCAATATAAACTTGGCTGGAATCTGTCCCAAGCGTTTCAAAAGGCAGGTTAAAATCAACGGAGGCAGGCGAAATTGACTTGCGAAGTCGTAAGTAAAGTCATAGTCGCTCATTATAAGAGGAATCTAAAAAGCGAACTTCGTAAAGGCATAAAAATGTGAAGATATGCAGATTAAATGCTGATTAAACGGTTGATTAATTATGAGCAGTAATTAGAGCTAATAGAATCTTGCTGGGTAAATTTCCAGTATTATGCGTGTGGAAATCTGAACCTCAGTACAGATAGCGACACATCATTGAATTTGCAGGATCGAAAGCTGTTCAGCAAGAAAAATGAAAAATGCTGAAAATGCGAAAAGGTGACGCTCTGGTTACCTATATGTAACCTCATGCAAACTTTGAATAATGAGCGTTCATAGTTCGCGACTATTGCTCACATTGCCCGGTGTCGCTTAGTGGCGGAACTTATGCGTGGTGCCCACGAATCGCCCAGTCGCAGTCGCTCAAATCGCGCAATCTGAGCATCAGACATGAAGCTCTAGGGTTTTTTGTAAAAAAAACCCAACACATACTTAAAAAGATATGTAACTGGCTTACCATAACTAAACACGTTGGGAAGGAAGTAGGCATTACGACCGGCGACAACAAGTGTCTTTCCCGTAGACAGTGGGAACGGTTCATGTCCCAACTGAGTAAGCGTCTTCACGCAAGTGAGTGGGTATGTGACAGTCGAAAGAACCACTCTTGCGGCTAAATTTTTTGCCACAGCCTCCTAAACAACTTATAGGAATTGCTGCATACAAGGATAGATAATAAGAGTGAAAATCAGATGCTAGTTGTTAAAAATACGGAAAGAAACGATACCTCTTCTTCGTTGAGTCCGAGAAATTGATCGCGCGCTGCCATATCCAGCAACTAAAAATGGCGAATCAATGCACAGCTGCCAATGTAAATCAAAGTATTCACGGATGGATCCATAAATGGGGCAATCATTAAAAGCAAAATAACTAATTTATGCTAGAGGCACGTACGATACGAATATCACATTCCAGAAATCACAAAATTCACTTACTATTGAAATTCAAATCTCATTCTCAACAGCAATTTATGTACTGATATATCTCTATCTCAGCATTTACACTGTAACAATCCCAAAACATAACAAACGTTGACTTACGGAAACGCTCAACAATTTCCCAGTTAAAACACACACAGGACATTATCAGTTGAAAATGGACCCTAATACACGAAGCATTTCCTTCTCTAATTGAAAGAACGGAGCCTTCGAAATATAAGGTA